GTATCTGGAAGGAGATGCTCTGGATCTGTTGTCGTGGATGAATACGGAAAGGTCTTTGCTTTACTGGAAAGAATTGGTGAAAGCTCTAGAGGAACATTATGGGCCTCCAGAGTACTTGAACCCATATGAGCACTTGTGCAACATTAAGCAAACAGGTTCTGTAGCGGAATACCGGCAAGAGTGGGGCACGAAGGATTGCACGAGTAACCAACTGGCCAGAGCACTGCTTGCTTGGAGTATTCCTGAATGGTCTTAGAGAAGAAATCAGACCAGAAGTCAGAATTCATAAACCAAGGTCAGTTTATCGGGCTGCTAGTTTAGCCTTAGAATTTGAGAAAAAGCTAGCCCAAATAAAGAGGAACTGGCCCAATTCGTACACTTGTCAGAGTCAGCCCACTACCAATACTAATCCCATTATTTCAGCACGTGACCAGGGAGTGACACCAGCAAATTCCAGTATGCCTTCTTCTTCGACAAACCCAAACAGAGCCACAAATTTACTTCCATCCGCAACAAGCTCGTGGGAAGCAACAAAACAGCAACAACGCGACAAGGGGTTGTGTTTCCGTTGTGGGGACCCATTCCGACCAGGCCATCACTGTTCTATTACGTTTTCACTGCTGGAGGTTGTAGAAGACGAGAATTCAATGCCAAGCTCTTTGGAATTAGCCAAAGGCACAGAACTGGATGCCGAAATTTCTTTTAACGCCATCCTGGGCAGTCTAACATCAACAACAATGAAACTACGTGGCTTATTGGCTAACAAAGAAGTTTTGTTGTTAGTGGATAGTGGCTCAACTCACAATTTCATATCAGATTCACTGGTAAGCGAACTTGACTTGGCCAACTCCTCTACTCAGACACTTGGGGTTCAGCTTGGTGACGGTCATGTGGTGCATTGCAACTGTGTGTGCAAGGAGATTTCAGTACAGCTTCCAGGTTTGACCATCACCCAATATTTTTATCCATTTTCCCTTGTGGATTCTGATACGGTACTGGGAATTAAATGACTTGCATCACTCAATACCATCCAATCTAATTGGAATGAGATGTTCCTCATGTTCTGGGTGAATGGGAAGAAATATAAGTTACAAGGAATATCAACGATAGAGCCTCAGCCTGCAAGGTTTAATCTTATGACCACCGTGGATGACCACCGTGGAGTCTGCATCTCGTACACTTGGACGTGACACACTTAATGTGGAAAGGGTGTTCATGGAATCTAAAGCTGTATTTGCAGAACCAGTCACTATGCCTCCATTCAAAGATCATTTCCATGCCATTCCTCTGATCCCAGCAGCTCAACCTTCCAGCCTGAGAGCGTACAGGCACCCATGTTTCCAACAGAACGGAATTGAGCGACAACTACAAGACCTCCAGAAAGGGTTCATTCGTCCCAGCTCCAGTCCATTTGCAGGTCCAGTTCGGTTGGGGAAGAAAAAGACAATTCATGGCGTATATGTGTGGATTATCGGGCCCTCAAAAAAATCCCAGTCCCCGACACAGTTTCGGGCTGTCTTGGAGGATTCCTTAAAACTTTAAAACGCCTCTCGCGTACTGTTAAATCATTCATTCAACAATGCTTTGCGAACCAAAAGAGCAAATATGACGCATTACCACCTGCTGGTCTTGTTACAACCCATACATGCACCACAACGGACTTGGGAAGACAATGAGTTTGTAGTGCTGCAATTTCCAGAATTTCGCCTTGAGGACAAGTCGGCTTTCAAAGGAGGGGGTAATGATAGGGTGCTCAGACTGCTCACTCTGCTCACTTACCAGAGACGCAAGAAAAGAGGAACAACTGTTGATTGAGTCTTCAATTATTTAATATTTATTGCTTATTTGTTTAATTAAGGCAGTTAAAGAAATAAGTGGGTTTTGGTGTCATGCACCAGTCCACTATGGCAGTTCTCAGATCATGGAGGGAGTCAGTTAATGTGTCAGTTATTAGATCATGGATGGAGTCAGTTATATTGAGTCAGTTATGGGTCAGTTGTATTTCCTTCTTTATAAATAGCCTAGCCATATTCAAGCAGGGTGTGCAGAATCAGTATTAATTTCAGATTTGGAGATTCTCCCTTGGCTTCTACTATCGCTCATTTGTGAGATACTTACTGTGAGAGAGAATGTAGGAGAGTTTAGCCACTCAATTCTTAGCCTCTTATTTCTGATCTTACCAGGCACTAATAGTTAGGATGTTTTTAATTGAATTGTAATTTTCTGGTCTGGTCTGTTTAAGTCTCGTTTGAACTGGTTTGACAGATGTCTGGTGTATGTGTATTTTACAACTGAAGAAGTCTGATTTGGTCTTTTTATGTCTAGTCTGGGACCGAAACCAGTGCAACTAAAAACATCCTTAGTGGTCACTAACTATAGGAGATTGTCAGTAGCTGCGACAATGGTCGCTGATGATGGCTGTCAGCATGGATGTGACAGAAACAAGTGGCAAGGGTTTCTGAAAGAGGCTTTGACCGCTGTGTTCAGTTGTGATGGTTGCAGCAAGTATCATTTAAAATGGGGTTTGTTGACGGCGGTGGTCTTCAAAGTGGTGGTGGTCGCTGATAAGTATTATGGGCATCGGTGGTTGACAAGTTTGCTAATGATGGTAATGATTGCTAGGTTGGTTGACACTTGACAGTAGTGATAATGATCTCGCTAGTGGAGACAGTAGTCCCTGGTGGCAACAGTGATCATCGACGGTGGTGTTTGTTGCTAGAGATGGCTGTGACCCTCACCAGAAGTCCAGAACCGGTGGAGGTGGCCTGCAAATACTGGTCTTCGGAGCTGTTCGGGCTCACTTGGAGTGGTGGAAGTCATCTGTGGTGTTGATGACAGTGGGCTTTATGGTGCTGGGATTTACAATGGAGGTGGAGACGAAAGCGGTGACCATGGTGGTGGTCACCGATGGATAAGCTGCCCGCATTAGCAATGTTTGATGGTTGTAACAAGAGTGGATGATAATTGTGCCGTTTGCAATGGTGGTGGGAGTCGCCAATAGTGGTAGTTATTGGCAGTAAAGACATTGGTAGACTTAGGTGGCAGTGCTGGCTGTCACTGAGCGTGCTACTAGCTGCCATGACTGACGTTCAGAGGTTATAATGGCCAATAGTGGCAAAGTTGTTGACTATAGTGTCATTGGTGATCTGTTAAAAACTTAAAACTTTAATAAAAAGTTATTTTAATGTTTCCAATTTTCTGGAAAAAAAACTAAGGCTGGGTGTTTCCCATTTTCTGTTTCCTTCTTTAGTAAGATAAAAACAGTATTATGTAAACTCGGGGCTCGTTTGGTATTGTTGGCAACCTTTTAGCTTTTGATATTATGACAAGTTATGTGGTTATTATGAGTGTTTAATGAAATAAATAGTAGCCATACTTCTCCATGTCAAATAGAATTTGAAAATTCCAGTATAACCGAAAATCCTTTTTTTCTGGTTTTCATATCTTGGTTTTAGCTAAAAATGGAAAACAATGGCGAACAAGCAAAGGGAAAGTGAACCCAAGGGAAAGTGGAAATGATGGTGCATTCAAATTCAATTGACTCAAGTTCCATCTCGGCATCCCCCCTTTCTGTCTGTAAGCGCGGGGAAATTTAAGCAAGGAGTTGTATGTAAAGTTGGACTCTAAGGAAGGAGAAAAAGATATTTATAGACTTGCTCGTCTTCGTGATCATAAGATTTACGATATCGGAAAAGTTAAGTGTGTGAAGGATGTCGATCAAAGGGTACTAATGGAGGATGAGGAAATTTAAGAGAGGTGAAAGTCGTACTTTGGCGTCGCTGATTCACTCCATTATTTCACGTAAGGATCTTACACCGTTCTAGGTGGTATGTGTTCCTGACTTGTCCAAAAATCCCTTCATCACAGGCCACCAAACCGCAACCGTGTTAAATTGTGCCAGGTCACCAAACCACAACAGTTGACCAAATCCAACATGAGAAAACGTGTTGGATTACTTAACCACTAAAGGTGACCGACCTAATTGGACACGTGAAAGATCTTGAAGATTAATGATGCATGGTAAGGTTAATATTGGAAAATCTGAGTCTTTGGTGATTAAATGTGTGGGTTACCATAAAAGGTCGTAGACCGGAATTATATCGCTCCTGTCTTTGGCCCATTTTTGGAGATTCAGGTTATGGTCCTATCGGTTCTGTCCTTATCTGTCTTATGTTAGAACCCTAGTTGCATTGCCTCCATCACCACCACCAACAATCATTTTCTCCATAATTTGAGACTGTTTCCAGTATCGATGGGCCCTACGCCCCTACCACAACTGGATACTGCCACCTTTGGGGATGACCAGCTGCCACCACTGCAGGTGACAACTGCTGCCATCGACCCACCACCGTTAGAGACAACCACCACCACCAGAAACTACTGATGCTGCCGTCAATTGCTCCCCACAGAAAATATAAAATTTGAAAACTAAATAGAATAAAACTCAAAATAGTAAACAGAAGTGAAAAGCCCTAACGTTTTACTTATTTTTAGCCCAAAGATAACATGAAATTTGAAATGTTCGGTTATAGTATTATTATTATTATATAACATCCATTATAAGAAACTGAATTAGTCTAGAAATACTATGTGTTAAGTAGGTCATCATCATCTTAATTTTTGTACTTTAATCCTTAGTGTTCGGTGCTGATGACATGAATGTGTAGTGCCAATTAATTTTTAAATTAACTAATACTAACTTTATGCAAAAAAAACATAGTAGCAATAGTGTACGCCAGAGTCCTTTTTTGAAACCTTCTTACAAAGAATTAAATGAATAATGAGATGAATTGCCAAAAACACCATCATCATATGGTAATCACATATCCCTCATAAATGACGTCAAGAGGTGGCAATGAGGTGAGATAGTGTGCATGGCAGTGTGTTGATTTTGTATAACAAAGATGGCAGTGTGCAACTCAAGAAAAAGATATTGCGCTTTGTGCGTTTTAAAATTTTGTTTTATATTATATGTTTAATTTTTTTCCCCTTTTCATCAGATTAAATCAATTGAAGGAGGAAGGCAGGGTGCTTCACTGAAAAGGCTGAAAAAAGATAAGATAGGAGGTCCAATCGGGAAAGTTGCACACATAGAGGGGGGTGTGGCTTCAGCAACACCGCTTGTTAAGCCAGATTTACCTTTGCCAGCAATGTAAGTGTTGGTGTAAATCATAACATTAGCTTTTTGTTAAACACATTGGTGCAAAATAGGTATAAAGGAATAATCATATATATAAATCGGAACTCTGTGTAGCTTGAATTATGGAGTTTACATCATGTAGAGAGGATACATGGTGTATGTTTGTAGTAAATACAGCTTGAACCCTTTTTCTTTTGACGACTATTCGATTATACAGGAGAGCTACCATAATCCATGTTCATGTGTGATGCCTCCTGGATAACATGAAATTCCTTCTTGTGGTATTTGCCATTTGGTATATGTTTTCTGTAGGAGATTTTGTATAACAAAGATGGCAGTGTGCAACTCAAGAAAATGATATTGCGCTTTGTGCATTTTAAAAAGATGGTAGTGTGCAACTCTAGATTTTCTTTCCATAACATAAACAGGACAGTCGACTATTCAGTAACAGTAATTTCCAAGAAACCTAACCAAGTAATCTAAGTATCTAACCGGTTCCCGATCCCAATGAACTTTGGCTTTCGGGTACTAATATGTGTATTATGTGATGGAATGGGCTTAACAGTGAACCAGCGTTTATCTCGCCTAGGATGAATAACAAAGGATATGACGCAGGGGCTAAATATATGCTGCCTTCAAGGAGCACTTAGTATGTGTACCCTTGTATTAAAAAATATTAAGTCTGGTAAGGTCCGGTATTGTGTGTATTTTACTATTATCTATGTTTGATTTGATTCGTTTATTTAAGTCTAGTCAAAGTCTAGTTAAGTCTTGTCAAGTTTGATCTGGTTGTTATGGGTGTGGTTGGGACCTCGTTTCAAATTAGGAAATAGAGAATATAAGAGAGGAATAATAAAACAAGACCAAGAAATAATCGGTGCCCGAGCTCGTCAAGACACATATTACAAGAGTCCTAACTATAGAAGGAAATAAATGCTAATTAAGAAGTTGCCTATAGCAGAATAGGAATAATTATAAATAATGGAGATACATGCTCTAATTAAGAAGCTGCCTAAAGCATATATATGAATAATAATGATAATGATAATAATGATAACAACAACAATAATAATAATAATAATAATAATAATAATAATAATAATAATAATATAAGGTTTCCTTGTTCATATCATAATTCCCCTCTTGGACATCAATTTTGTCCTCAAGCTTGAAGGGAAGTATCTCGTAATGTCCGCCTTTGCCATGATCAAATGGTATGATTACAAAATTATCATTTGTGATATTGCCCCATATAAGATTTGCTGACACTTGCGCTAACCCAAGAAGAGTAGTATAAGTTACTATAAAGTCTGGGCATTGTTCCATGAAAGGGAAATTTAATCCTCTCATTGCCTCTTGGCTGCTTTTCCCAAAATACTCTCAAGCATCAGGTTTGGGAAGATTTCCTGTTGCAAAGCTGCTTCACAAAAGGGATCACTTGTAAATTATAAAAGTAATTTACAAACGTCGATGTAGGTGCAGGTGCAGTGGATGGCTTCAGATTCAATTCCTCAAGTGGAACATGTGGTGTGTCCCTTATGTGATTCAAAATTGAAAGCGATGTTTGTATGATCTTGGCAGGTGGCAGAGATGACTAATCTAGTGATAATGGCTGCCCAAAAAGAGGAGTTTCTGGAATCAATAGTTTTTCTGATAGTGACTGCAAAGTTGTTTGTGGCAAGGAAGCTGACCTTGGCTGCTTTTCTAATGGCAAAGCTGACTGCAATGGAACTGTTTGAAGCAGGGGAGGATGTTCTGGAAATAACAAATGATGGGGAGTGGGCTGTTTTCTGGCAACACTAAAGCTGGCAGTGGGGTTGTTGCCAGTGAAAGAGCTGATGACTGCGGTTGTGGGGACTCATACGCATTTTCATTCTACAACCATCTTCATTAAATTCTTCCCTTGAAGTTCCAATAGGGCTGTCACGGTGTCTAGAGAGGAATCAAAATATACTAAGACTTGAAGTGTAATCCTGTTGGATTTCAAAATCTCAATATGTTGCACCGACCTTTCACCAAAAGCACACAACAAATCATACTCATCAAGGGAACAACATAATTGAGAGTGGGTGACACGCAAAATTCGATAGTCCATTTTTTTCTTTCTAAATCTAAAGGTAAGCTGAATGAAACAAATTGAAGGAGAAATTAGTGAAAAAGTGAAATAATGAACTTCTGACAAAACCAACATTAGAATTCAAAGCAACCTGCTTAAGTGCAACACTTCACATCTTGATGGGCCTTCAAGAACAAGGCTAATAACCCAATGCCATGCCCAAACTTTTCTGGTTTTTATGAGCAACGAGTCCAGAAGCCTTCATGAAGAGGTTTTTTGGTTGTTGATTACGTTGGGATTCTGGACAGGGAAGAAAAAATGCCAAAAACGTGATAAAACTGAGAAGGTGCGGAATAAGATGAATCAGGCATGAACATGATGGCTCTGGTACCAAATTGTTAAGGGCATGGTAGGGATCTCGTTTTAAATCTAGGAAATAGAGGATATGAGAGAGGAATAATAAATTAAGCCTAAGCTAGAATTAATCGGTGACCAACCTTGTCAAGACACACAAGAATTAATTCTTCCCAAGCCGTTTATTGAATAATATTGATGACCCTTATATAGCTATTACAATAGTTTTAATTATAAAAGGAAATAAATGCTAATTAAGAAGTTGCCTAAAGCAGAATAAGAATGGTTATAAATAAAGGAGATAAATGTTGATTAAGAAGCTGCCTAAAGCATATATATTGATCAATAATAATAATATAAGGTTTCCTTGCTCATATCACTGGTCTGGTGTGAGACTAATCAAGTCCAATTGAAAACATCTGGAGGATAAAAAATAATTTTGGTGAAGGTGTGAAGCTTAGGGGATACTAGCTTTTGGAAAACTGAATATTATTGTGAACATTAAATTAAATCATTGTTTATATACTGACCATCATTACTTTCTCCAAATTCTGGAAAGCTGATACCGAATCTGCTTTAAAAAAAGATTCTGAAGCAGAATCAATTCCTTACACCCTCTATATTGAACTTTATTTGAATGAAACATTTTTGAAGTATTTACTTTCCAGACATATGGAGGTAGAACACTCTATTCTTGAAGACTTGAGAAATCGTGTACAGCTCAGTAGCCTGGCATTGCCCTCTGTGAACATGTATACCTTTCTTAATACTCAAAATGGGTATGTTTTGCAGTTTGAAGTAGAGTAATGCAATATTATATTTATATTCATTAGAATCATTTTTTATCCGTGTTTAATCTAGTGTGAATGTTAATATATTTTTTTTGATAGATTAAACTGTGCATCAATATCTAATGATGGATCACTGGTGGCTGGTGGCTTTTCGGATTCTTCGCTGAAGGTTTTGGCTATTTCTGCACTTCTAAACTTTGTTATCATTTTTTGCTTTCTTGTTTGTCTGTTGATCTATCATTGCGCTTGTATTGCAGTTGTGGGACATGGCGAAACTTGCACAACAATCTGAGAATTGTAAGTGTAATATGATAACTCTGCACTCCAAGATTTTATAGCATGTTTGTTTTTACATGTTACATGATTTTTAGGTGTGGTTATATCATGTATTTTTTGGTGTACCTATCTCATGTATTCTTCACTGCTGTTATCGACTTATCGGTTATGGAATTTTCGGCAATTGAATATTTGCTTTAGTTCCCATGCAGGGTATCGGTTCCCCATCCAATGAGCAGGACCTTGGGGAAAATGGGCAGCGAAGATGCTATACATTAATTCATGGTCATTGTGGACCTGTTTATTCTGCCACCTTCAGTCCTTATGATGATTTTCTCTTATCATCATCATCTGATTCAACCAGTGTGTAGACCGTACACTCGTATTTTTTTCTTTGACTGAGATAGTCATCTTTCTTTGTTTAAGAGTGCTTACTGCTTAGTCATTATCATTATTGAAAACATTTTACTTGTGATAACTGCCTATTGATTTTTTTTTGTTCCTTTATGTAGTTCGGCTGTGGAGCACAAAACTAAATGCAAATCTTGTTTGTTATAAAGGCCATAATTATCCTGTATGGGATGTTCAAGTAGGTGAAGTGTAATTCATATTTTCTTACTTGATCTTGTGGTTTTTATTTAATTGGAAAGTTAGCAACAACAAAAGAAGAACTTGGCATCATTATAAAACAGAAAAGTAGACCAAATTACCACATGGCAGCAGTTGCATATGACCGGTAATAGTTACCACATCAGGCACCACATTGGTTCAACTTAGAATTTAAATGTTAAAAAAACATGCCATAAGAAAACGGCTACCTAAGCATCACATTATCAAGATTTATGATGTTCTTAATTGGTTTGATTTCAGTCCCAGATAAGACCAAACCAGATCAGAAAATTACTTCAATTAAAATTTTAAAAACATCCTTAACACCGTTAGTGCATGAGTAATATTGCTAGCAGCGCAATAACACATACTCCAGTTTAATCAAGAACCGTTCCACAAGCTCCTAAATGTGAATGCGCCCAACCTTGGGTACTTTTGTGTACTTTTCCTAAAGAAAAACTGGCAACAAAGTATATACTTGTATCAAATTTATTGGATTAATGGTAAAGGTTACATTAATTACAATCTTAATTATATGAGTAATATTGAAAGTGATGATGATGATTCATATATCGTGATGATGAGAACCATTGTAGTAGGGAAAAAAGCATGAAAAGACAAGCATGTTTGTTAAGAAGTACATTATCCTAGAGTTCATATCTACTGTACCGTGTCCTGTACTTTGGTTGGTTAGTGTATATTACTCCCCCCGTCCCGCTGGGATGTTCGTGTGGGTAAATGACACGATTTTTTAGGCAAGTCGATAAATAAAGTGATTTGGGTAAAAATAGAGAGGAAAGAAAATTTAGAAAAAGTTAACATATAAAGTGAAAGTAATTAAAGGGAGATAAGTTGGGGGAGGGGACATTGTGAGACTTGACATGTAATGAATAGGAAAGAGAAATTTGAGTAAAGGTGTAAATAAAGAGAGTAAATTATTTCCTAAATTGGAATGAAAACCTTTAAATGGGACACCCAAATAAGGAAAGTGGGAACCTTAAACGGGACGGAGTAATAAATTTGTAAAAAAGAAAATTAACACGATTCAACCCAATCAAAATGAGTGGTACAGAGAATGTGGTGTAGAGGGTTTGAATTCATCATCCTTGTAGGCTATTAGGTTAATTGCTCATACTTGTGAGATACTGGAGTAGATGGGTCTGTTCATTCAGCACATATGATGATTTCATTTTTGTAATGCATTTGTTAAGGACAATATTCATCTAATATAACACCAAAATTATTATTTGGTTTTTGTTCTCAACTTTATGCATTTTACATAGATTCTTCAGACACAAACATTTACCGGGTCAAGGTTTATTGTTTCTGCATCCAGTGATCAGAAACCTTGATTAGTTGCAGTAGTTTAGATGGGAGGAGGGTGGAGGGTTGGTTTGTTTTTAGTTGGAGGAGTGCAGGAGAAGGAGGAAGGATAACTGACAATCTATGGACTCCTCCAAACCCTTCATATCACACTACCCCAATTTGAGAGATTTCAGAATGACTTTTTTATTTACTTTTTCACATACTTTTGAAAACTATTTTCATGTATGCACCCTCCGTATTTAAAAGATCACTACGTTAGGTTTTGGCACAATATTTAAGGGGAAATAGTAGGGGTAATGAATAATGTAGTAAAAGTAGGGGAGACGGTGAAAAAGTAGAAAAAATAAGGGTAATTGGGTATTTTTAAAGGCAAAACTTACCAAAAAGAGAAAGTGTAGCAAAATTTTGAATGCATCCCAAATTAAAAGGCATTGACAAAGTAGAGTCAGTAGACCTTAAACTTCCTGGATCAATTGGAGTTTTTATTGTTTGTGATATGAAAAGCAGTGAATTCAATTCCTTTTTCATACTGACAAATCCCAGAGAGTTGCAATTTTATGAGAACAATTGCTGGTCTGCCGGGAAACATGAGAAAGAGAACAATCATTATGTTCTCCAGGGTGACAACATCCCTCTCTATGAAGAGAATATGGTTAAACTGGGTTGGGAACAGCTATGTTCAGAAGGGGGGATGAAGGGTCCAAGCAATGTAACAGATGAGGAAGTATGGCTGAGAGTTGATAAGCAAGCAAGAACGTACTGGGAAGGAAGAGGCGCCAAGATGAAACTGAATGGCATGGCTGTTTCTTACTCCCCACCTTGAGGACAAGGTGGTTGTCAAGGGGGGAGTGATGATAGAGACCTAAAATAATACTAGAATAAGAATACTATTAAGTCTTCTAATATTGTGTACTAAAAGGGTTTAGGCCCTATAACTATATGGAAGTGGGCTGGCCCATTAGAAAAGAATAAATAGGGTGAGCTGTGAGTAGAAAGGGAGGCAGAACTTTAGACCTGGGCTGGGAATTCTGGGAGAGATAGGCTGCTCTAAGTGCCTAAACTTGTATCGTTTCACTCTGTTCTTCCATTTACGTTCATAATAAACATCGATGTCCCTCTTTCGATTTTTGGTTTCTATCATTGGTATCAGAGCATCGTTCCTAGAGCCTGAATCGATCCTCAGTTTCAACGACAACTAAGGAAGAAGATGAACAATAGCGACAGTCAGTGGAAGGAGTTGCGCTATATGTTGCGCAAATTTCTTCACCGTCAGAAGCGACATAGACACAGAGCGAGGAGTCCTCCTAGAAATCGTTGGAAGTTAACAAACCAGGACTCATCGTCATTCCAAACTTCAAGGCGAGCAGATTTTGCCAGTCCGAAGACTTCATCGCAAACAGCTTCGCCCAGTTCGCGAACCGACTCTCCTAGTTCGCAATCGCGAACGGCTTCGCGTAGTTCGCTGAGGTCATCTCAAGCTGCTCCGGCTTCTTCGCGAACAGATCTCGGCAGTTCGAAAGTGACCTCGAAGTCAGCATCATGCTTTATCGTTTCTCCTAGTTCTAGTTCGCAGATGCGACCAAGTGCTCTCAGTTCGTATGCTGCGTCGCCAACGGAAGTCTCCTATTCGCAGATGCGGAACAGTTTTCTGAGTCGGCAGGCATCTTCATCAGCTACCAGTTCACGTTCAAGTAAGACTCTATGGAGAGGAGAATTCTTATCATCGTCGTCAGTCGATTCTCACCTTTCTCCTTCATCATCATCATCGCAGACTCCATCAGATCCCCAGGGCTTGCAGGTGTCATCGCACACCTCTTCTCACAGTGCTCAAGTTTCATCACCCACAATGAAGTTGAGGCCGGCTGAACCATCAATCAAGGGACCAGGTCTGGATGATAATATTACTCAAACTACAGGATATCTGCCAAATTATCCAGAAAATTCCACACAGTCTGAGAAGGATAAAAATGGAACTAGTTCGGTAAAAGTGAAAGAGCCATTGCCAATGCAACGAGAGGATCAGGTAAAAATCACAGATAAAATAGAGAGGATTCAAGCACTAGAGTGGAAATTCGACAGTGCTGCGATGAATTATGAGCCTGATGTTTTTGTACCTACAACCGGGCTCAATCCCATAATGGATCAGTCACAACTTTTTCTTGTGGGTACAGGAATTGATGCATTCTCACCTGCAATGGTGATGTTGAAAGCAGGGCAAGTGGTTCATGGAGTTCCTAATGGTGAAAGTTCTAAGGAGTTGATTGCCAGTATGCCACGATTGGAATTGCACACTGACGAAGAAAAGAAAGTTTCTGTGATGACTCACTCCTCGATTACTATGGCATATGAATCTGCCATTGATAAAATTGCTGGTCCAAACACTTTGGAAAGCTCTACAGGGACTGTCCGTATAGATGACTTTAGCAAAACTGGAAAAAATGCAGATAATGTGGTGACTGAAGTTCCACAGGATCCTACACGAGCTATTAGCTCTTTGATGAGAAGAGGAAAATACAGAGATGAAGACAAGAGAGGATGGAAAGAAAAAGGAGGTGGTATGTACAAACCTTGGTATGGGGTGGAAGGATTGAAAGGAAGGACACTTGCCTGTAATGTTGAGGGAGGTACAAACCTCCAAGTCTTACTCTTATGCGGTTGGTATGTTTTCCAAGTTTGGAATGTGGAAGAACCTGGTGGTGTTCAAAATTTAGTTTCCAAGCAGGATGGTAATGTTTCATTCATGAAAAGCTCATCCAATCCAATTTTGTCAAAGCAAGATATGCATGAAATTGCTAATAGTTGGCCATTGTGGATAATATGTGCTGATGTTCTAACTATGGGTTGGTTCCATTACTTGAGATTTCACTCTTATGTACATCAGGTGAAGTTCAAATCAGTTGCTCATCCTGTGAGGTGCAGCTCTAGAGTGGTTACTTCCCTACCAGCGGCTCAGATACACTGTGGTAATGAAGCAGATTTGGAAAGGGGTTGTAATTTTGTCACAAACCCTGTTGCTAGGGGCTGTTCGGGAACTGCAAACCTGGGCATTGGACCTCTTGCTGTTGGCTTTAGGTGGAGGGCTTATGCTGGAAATCCAGTTTCTATGCCTGCCTTACTAGAAGGTTCTTCCAACTGTTTGACTAAAGATGATAGTGTTTGTGTGATGTACTGCCCAGTTATAGCTCTTAACGCAGTAAGATGGGACTACATCAGGGGCTTGGTTACTAAGTGGAGAAGAGTCTTTGTGGAGGAAGCAGCACGAAAACTTATAAGCTATGTGCATGGATTTTCACCTACTAAATTGCTAGTAATAAACCTGCAACCTGCAACAAGTTTCTCTGTAGTTGGAAGGCAGCCTTTAGTGATTCTGAAATGCATAAAAAGGGTTTACAGCAGTTGGCAAAGGGAAAAGAGTATCTTGCAGAGTTTCCGTATGCCAGTTTGCTATCCACAGTCGAAACAGCAGCATGTTATGCACCACTCATGAGATTGCTTGTGCCTATCGATTCGGGGTCATCTGGGCTTGCAAAATTAAAAGGTTGTTTCTTACTCCCCACCTTGAGGACAAGGTGGTTGTCAGGGGGGGGGTGATGATAGAGACCTAAAATAATACTAGAATAAGAATACTATTAAGTCTTCTAATATTGTGTACTAAAAGGGTTTAGGCCCTATAACTATATGGAAGTGGGCTGGCCCATTAGAAAAGAATAAATAGGGTGAGCTGTGAGTAGAAAGGGAGGCAGAACTTTAGACCTGGGCTGGGAATTCTGGGAGAGATAGGCTGCTCTAAGTGCCTAAACTTGTATCGTTTCACTCTGTTCTTCCATTTACGTTCATAATAAACATCGATGTCCCTTTTTCGATTTTTGGTTTCTATCATTTCCCTGCATCATATTCCGTCATTCTAGGCTTCTAGCCATAGAAAACTTGTATTGAACAATCAAATAAAGCTTATTTGATGGTTTGGTATAATTACTTGAGGGTTAAGTGACCACGATTGAAATAAAAAGTATCTCTGTATGATTTTTGTCATATATGTGAACAATGGGGTGTGAAATAGCTATTTGTTCTTCTTCTTCTTCTTCCTATTATTATTATTTTTATTATTATTATTATTATTATTATTATTTATTACTACGTATTATTAATTGACGGACAATAGTTGGTATTATTTAAAGATATTTTCCCTGTTCTTATTTAATTAAAGAAAAAGTTATGTCAAATATTAAATTTTAACTCTTGTGTTTCTTCCCCTCTTCCCCATTTGTCTTTGGCCCCCTCTCTTGAACATTACAAGGGATAACTTAACTGCTGCAAACTTAACATGATAATCTTTCATGATGCTTACAAATTCACAACTTCTCTAACCAAGGAGTCTCTGAAACATACTCAAGTGCGGGTCTTAATTGTCATAATGCAGTTTAGCCCTGTTGGGCATTACTTTGCTAGTGCTTCACATGATCGAACTGCAAGGATCTGGTCAATGGACAGAATACAGCCTCTGAGGATAATGGCCGGCCACTTGTCTGATGTTGATGTGAGTGTGCAATACTAGTTTATATTATCCCTATTATCCTTTATTCCACATCTGAAGTATTTTCAAATGTACTGTTTGTTTGGAAACCCATGATCCAAGGTACACATCTTACAAATTATGCATCCTATATATAAATGATTGAACACTATAAAAATGAATGAAAGGTTTTGATTAAGAGTTCTCATTATAAAGAGTTCTCATTTTAGGAGGGCTTCTCACTAGTGATAAAAAGTTCTCATTACAAATGGGACCTTTTTACAATTAATGCTAAATAATTACAAAAATGCCACCTTGTCAGTCATCATTATCCATTGATTCTAAAAATGAATGATGAAGATTAAAAGTTCTCATTTTAAAAAGGGTTCTCACTAGAATCCCTCCCATATATATATATATATATATGTATGTATAGAGGACTTTTCATGTCCAGCCGGCCTGACGGGAACCGCCGTCCGGCCGAGGGCATTTCGGGCACTTCCCGGTGGAATTTTTTGATGAAATTTTTTGAGCATGTTCTTCATGAAGTCTAGTTTATCCATACCAAATTTCAGCTAAAAATTCAATCGGGAAGGCACTCAAATAATTTCTTGAAGTTAACTGGGCAGTTCATACATATAAACTGCCCAGTTAACTTTACAAAATTATTTGAATGCCTTCCCGATCGAATTTTGAGCTGAAATTTGGTATGGATAAACTAGACTTCATGAAGAACATGCTCAAAAAATTTCATCAAAAAATTCCACCGGAAAGTGCCCGAAATGCCCTCGGCCGGACGGCGCATCCCGTCAGGCCGGCTGGACAAGAACGGCACTCTGTATGTATATATATATATATATATATATATATATATAGAATCCCTCCCCTATATATATAGAAGATTTTTCAAATACAAAGAGCTCTTCCCATGCAAAGTGAGAATAAATCTTGTGCATTCATTTTCACAACTAATGGCTCAAAATGAGCAAAAATGCACTAAATATGACCAACATCGCGGTGGCAATTTCGTAAATAAACCACACCTTTTCGCCACCGCGAAAAATTGCAACAAAAACACGAAAAAGTGTAAGCGAAACATGAAAAAGTGCATATCTTTGCACTTTGCACGGGAGGTCTTTTTATTTGAACTCTTCTATATATATATATATCATTTAAGTTTCTCTTTACCAAATTTATGATATATAACTTTTTTGTAACTCTTGTTTGAGAAATAATGTAAAAAGGTAGCTTCAATTTTATAGGGGAAATTTGACTTTACGCCCCCACTTTTTGGGCTATGTTTGACTTTGCACCCCATTTTCATAATCATTAATGTATGCACCCAATCAGCCCCAAAATTGTGAAGGAAAGTGCAAAGTCAAATGATTTTATGCTAAAAGGGGTGCCCACATTAATGATTCTAAAAATGGGGTGCAAAGTCCAATATACCAAAAATGGAGTGCAAAGTCAAATTCCCCTTTTATGGGGCACTTTTTGGGTCATTTAAACTTGTTATATCAACTAATTGATCAACACAAGAAATTATTACCTTTATGGATATGTCTTTGTAATTAATTAATATTGATAATTTCTAGAGAGTATTACAATGTCTACTATACACAGAAACCATGGGCCTAAGCTTGGTAGGAATTGGAAACCATAACACTGCTAAAAACATGATAACTCATTTTTTTTATACTTTGATGGTAAAGTTGGAGACCAAGGGTTTCAGACTGAGCTAAAGCAAGACTGAGTATATGGATTGACATTGATGACAAGGAGATACCGGTGTGTGATATGTTCCGTTACTTGGGCTCCATAATTTAGAAGGTGGTGAATTAGATGAAGATGTATCTCATAGAATCAGAGCAGGGTGGATGAAATGGGGAAGACTGCATCAAGATTTCTATGGGATCGAGGTATGCCGACTAAACTGAAGGTAAATTTTATCGGACAACAATTAGGCCTGCATTAATGTATGTCGTAGAATTTTGGGCGGTGAAACAATGTCACATTCAAAAGATGAGTGTTACAAAGACGCGTATGTTGCGTTTGATGTGTGGACATACCAGAAAAGACCGCTTGAGAAAGAGATAATCTGACAAAAGGTGGAAGTAGCACCTATAGAAGATAAGATGCAGGAGTCTTGATTGCGCTGGTTTGGTCACGTGTGTAGAAGATCAAGTGATGCGCCTGTTCGACGACTTGAGAGGTGGGGAGAAGAGGTAAGGAGGAGAGGGAGAGGAAGACCCAAATTGATATGCTTCTTCTTGGGTTGGATGAGAGTATGGCTTCGAGGAGAGTAAAGTGGAGGGCGCATATTCGTGTGGACGATTGATTTCTTTTTTCTTTTCTCTCGTTTTCTTTTTATCTTTTATCTTCTTTATATTTCTATGTTCTCATTTTATTTCTAACTTTTATCTATCTTATGTTCTTTTATCTTTGTTATGTTCTTATATTATTTTTATCTTATACTAACTCCGTCCTAAAAAGATTGGCCAATTTGACTTTTCTTGGTCAATGGTGTTAAAGTTTAGACAATGATTTTAGGTATTATATTTATGTGTAATTTTTAAATTTTATACTTTTATAAAAGATCTTTTGATAAAGAATAAGCTCATATAATTTTCATATTTCAAATAATTTTGTATTAAATGATATCATTGGTCAAAGTTGATAACCGTTGACCAAGAAAAGTCAAATTGGCCAACCTTTTTGGGACGGAGGGAGTATTTATTTTTATCTTATCCATTTAACTTTACTTAATCTTTTTATTTTTCTTATCTTTCTTCTCTTTTTGGCTCTGATATCATTTTAGTTGATCCCAAATCTTTTGGGAATAAGGCTTGAATATTGTTGTTGTTGATGGTAAAATACCAATCAAACATGATCTTTTCTCTTATAAGAAGACAATCAACTTGGATGTGCTTTTCTCTTATATACGAGTATTAGTTTGAAGGAATGCCTTCTGTTTATCACATATCAGTGTTATATTTCATCTGTTTCTTCTGTGATATTGCAACATTTGAAGGAAAGACCATATCAGCTCAAATTTTATATTATCTAATAGTGAATTCTAAAGTTTTTAGGGTTTCCAAGTTTTGTCTCCATAATAGGGTTCCACTTGTGGAAATATTAGGGATAGTATTGCTTTGGGCCTATAACTAATGAACTATTTTAAGCATTTACTTGAGGAACTAAAAGTGTACATCTCTGATTTGGGGACAGATGGAATATGATGCATATCAAGTGACAAGTAAGCCTAACACCAATTTTTTTGCAAAGAAGAGTTGCACAAAACAGCCTGAGAAATAGGTGTGTAGAGGAACCTAAAGGAGCATGTTTGTATGTACATGCCTATGGGGATCAGTTGACACGAATTATAGATAAAAAATGACTATTAATTATAGCGGAGTTTGTATGTATTCTTATTCAGTAATTAGCTGCATGAAATACCAATGTGGCCCAAGGGTTACACTACTTACAGATATGAATCACATTAGTGCTAAGTTCTGCAAATTTTGCACTCAACGAAGGAATGTTACTGATCTTTAGATGACTTGTCATTCTGTAAATTTGTTTGTGTTATATTGTGCTTACCTTTTCATTCTCAAAAGATGATACATTGATGATATCTTAACGAAGACACTTTTACTTTATAGTGTGTGCAATGGCATGCAAACTGCAACTACATAGCTACTGGATCAAGTGACAAAACTGTTCGATTGTGGGATGTCCAGAGTGGAGACTGTGTCAGAATTTTCATTGGTCACAGGAGCATGATATTGTCAATGGCAATGTCACCTGATGGTCGTTATATGGCATCAGGTGATGAAGATGGGAAAATCATGGTGTGGGATCTTGCTAGTGGCCGCTGTATAACACCTTTGGTTGGTCACACCTCTTGTGTGTGGACACTTGCTTTCAGGTTGAAACCATATTCTATATCTAACTAGACTTGTTCTGACTCAGTTCTTTGGGAGTTTTAATCTGTATTTTCTAAACTTGAACTATTTTCAGCTGTGAAGGATCTCTTCTTGCATCTGGTTCTGCTGATTGCACTGTGAAATTGTGGGATGTAACCACGAGTACCAAGTTATCAAAATCTGAAGAGAAGTGAGGGTGTACACGTGCTTTCTATTTTATGTGGTTTACTGTTTCTATCTTTTCCCCATTCTTAAACAGATCAATCTTTCTGTTGTCTCAGTAAATCTGGGACTACCAATAGGCTGCGATCGTTGAAGACGCTGCCTACCAAATCAACTCCATTATATGCTCTGCGTGTAAGATACTTGTGGCACTCCCCCCCCCCCCCCCCGGTGTGATTTTCATAATAATCGTTTTCACAGTTCTGCTAATCACCTTATTGGTATGATTATTTTTGGAGCAGTTCTCCCGAAGAAACCTTCTCTTTGCCGCTGGTGCTTTTTACCCAGAAGTACATAAAACAACTTATTAACAATGGAAATTTTGCAGAGGCAGTGTGGCTTCTATTTTTTGGTATGGCATCAGTCCATTGTCTCCACTATTTTGTTTATCATTCTGTGAACCTATATTCTAAAAATACTGGTCTGTCTTTTCTGAATCATCCCCCTCCAATGTTCTGCCCTCTCCTTTTTATGGGCTTCTGCAGCCAGGGAACTAAGAAATTCAGGAAGCCAGGACATTGGGAGACTTGAAGCATGTATTTGTTTTTTCTGTTTTTTCCGAATTAAAATGTTTTCCACTTTCCCCCCAGTCTCTCAAAATAGGAAAAACACTCTTGAAGCTGTGATTTTTTATTTAATTTTGTGTTAAATACCATGTATGTCTGTATGCAGTCTCCTATTTTTATTTTATTTTATTTTATACCCAATCAGAGCTTTGTCATGTTTGGCTTGCATCTGAGTCAAGATGAAAAATATTATTATATCTACCATAAATTTCTTTCCGCGGAGGGAAAGTAGAGGTTTTTGTTGGAATACTCAAATCAAGGTTGTTAAAATCGTATCTATGAATCGAATCGGTAGATGTTTTTAAAAATCGAATCGTAAAATTAGACTTGGACCCGGTTCGGGGCCGCCCGGCCCGCCACTGTGTGGGCCCGGAACCAGCCCGGTTCTCGGGTCCAAGCTCGGGCTCTGTATTTGGCGAACCGGCCGGGTCGGGCCCGGGTCCGGGCCAAAAACTGTTTTTTTATTTTATTTTTTCATTCTTTTGGGCTTTATTGAGTTGGGCTTGATGTTTAGGACCGGTTTGGGGGGTTTGGGGGTGGGGGGTGAGGGGGGGGGGAGGGGGGGAGGAAAGAAAAGAAAAAAAAATAAACTAACCGGGTGGCCCGGCCCGACCCGGTCCGGCCCTGAACCGGACCCGGAACCGGTGGCCACCGGTTCGGGCTCGGGGCCCAACAAAACAGACCCGAGGCCCGAACTGGCCCGAGGCCATCCCTACGTAAAATCGAATCGCAAATCGTATGACTTTACCAAACATATTTTAATAATTATAACATAAATAAATATTAAAAATAAGTTGCAAGTTAATGATATTATATCATTTCATTACATAAAACTATACCTAAAATGTCAAAAGCAGGATTTATAAACAGTTTTTATAATGTACGATTTTGCTACGATTTTATATGATTCTACACGATTTTAGGACGATTTTTTTATGATTTTGTACGATTTTATGATTTTACGATTTTACCTGCGATTTGAATCGTTTTATTAATGTAGAATCGTAAAATTGCACGATTTTACGATTTAAATCGAGATTTTAACAACCTTGACTCAAATTACGTAACTTCCCATGTTCGTGTACGTCTTTAAATATCGATTAGTATAGTTAACTTGGTATATTACATCACCTTACATGTGATTTATGTGGCTCTTGATTTATATTCACATAATCACATTAATCAAATAATTTTGGTAGGTATCTTTGAACAGTGAAAAATCAATAAAGAAGCGGTGGTATAAGAGTGGAGCTAGGTGTACACAAAAGTTGTACACTTGTCTGTCCCTCACAGACAAGTTGTCTGTCCGGAGATCAGTTGTCTGTGGACAGACAACTTGTCTGTGAGGGACAGACAAATGTACAACTTTTGGTGTACCCCAATATTTTTTCGTGCTATAATCACCCCTTTAGATACGTCCCTCGTTGCTGACAGACTACAACATCGTACAGTCAGACGCAGAAGAGCAGCCCGGCCAGGCCAGCATCTCCCCCACCTGTTTATAGGGGTGGACTCGGGCCGGGCCAACCGGCCCGGAACCGGACCGGCCGCTACTGTGTGGGCCCGGACCGGCCCGGTCAACCGGTTCTTAACCGGTTCGGGCCACCCGGCCCGGTGGTATAGCGGTCCGGGCCCGGGCCTCCATTTTAGGGAACCGGTTGGGAAGGCTCCCAAACGGCTCTATAGCCGTTGGGAGCATAGGAGGGGGGGTCTGTGGGGGTTAGGGGGTGGGGTGGGGGGTGGGGTATAAAAAAAAATCTATTTAAACTCCTATTTTCTCTACAATTTTTTTACACCTCTTCTTCTACAACTCTTCCTACTCTCTAATTCTCTACTCTAAATCTCTCATATTCAATCATCTTCATTCTTCATCTTCTCCAAATTCTTTCTACATATATATAATTTATATAATTATTATATCTACTTATATATTAATTATCTATTTATAAATATATACTTATACACATTCATATTATAATTCTTTACACATTATATATACTATATAAGTATATATACTATACACATTCATATTTACTTGATATTTAGTTATTATCCATACTATTGTTATTTACTTATATTTACATATTACATTTAGTTAATATATACTTTTATATATATACTATATATATATATATATATATATATATATATATATATATATAATATATATATATATATATATATATATAGTATATATATATATATATATATATATATATATATATATATATATAGAGTTGCTCTTCATGTCAGGCCGGCCTGACGGGCTGCCCCGTCCGGCCGAGCCCGTTTGGTCACCTTCCCGGTGGAATTTTTTGATGAAATTTTTTGAGCATGTTCCTCGTCAAGTCTAGTTTGTCCATATCAAATTTCAGCTCAAATTCGATCGGGAAGGTCGTCAAATGATTTTTGCAAGTTAACTGGTCCGGAAAATACATATTCCGGACCAGTTAACTTGCCAAAATCATTTGACGACCTTCCCGATTGAATTTTGAGCTGAAATTTGGTATGGACAAACTAGACTTGATGAGGAACATGCTCAAAAAATTTCATCAAAAAATTCCACCGGGAAGGTGCCCAAACGGGCTCGGCCGGACGGGGGCAGCATGTCAGGCCGGCCTGACATGAAGTTTTCTCATATATATATATATATATATATATATATATATATATATATATATATATATATATATATATATATATATATATATATATATATATATATATATATATATATATATATATATATATATATATATATATGTTAAAGTATTAAGTATAAGTGTATTACTCATCTTATAGTAATATACTTATATATTATATACTATAAACATTATATTATATATTACTTATAATATATTTACACATTATATATACTATATATACTTATACACATTCATATTTATTTGATATTTAGTTTTTATACATACTATTGTTATTTACTTATATTTACATATTACATTTAGTTAATATATACTTATATATATATATATATATATATATATATATATATATATATATATATATATTAAAAGTATTAAGTATAAGTGTATTACTCATCTTATAGTAATATACTTATATATTATATACTATAAACATTATATTTTATATTACTTATAATAGTAGTTAATTGTTAGACTTCTAATTTATCTATTAAGTAGTTAATTGTTAGACTTCTCATTTATCTATTAAATTGGTTAATTGTTACATTTCTCTTTAAAGAAAAAAATAGTTAAAGTAGTATATTTTTACATTTGTCATATTTCAATTAGTTAAAGTACTTAATTTTTTCATTTGTCATATTAAAATTAGTTATTTCATACATTGCTCATTAAAGTAAAAAAACTAGTTAAGTTTTACATTTGTCATAATAATATTAGTTAAACTACTTAATTGGTACATTTTTCATATTAATATTAGTTACTTGCTACATTTCTCATTAAAGTAAAAAAAGTAGTACATTTTTACATTTGTCATATTAATATTAGTTAAAGTATACATTTCTCATTAAGGTAAAAATAACTAGTAAATTTTTACATTTCTCATATTAATATTAGTTAATTTGTACATTGCTCATTAAAGTAAAAAAAAAAAACAAGTTAATTTTTACATTTCTCATATTTATATTAGTCAAACTAGTTAATATTTAGTTAATTGATACATTTCTCATTAAAGTATTAATTAGAAGTAGTTGGATTTTTATACTCATATTTTAGTTCGAATTTACCTTTTTACATGCCTTTCTCTTGGACATCATTCTTTGTCATTTACCTTTTTAATAATTTATTTTAATTTAATTTGTAGTTTCTAATATTTCTCTCCTCTCCACAACCTTCTTATTCTATTATTACTACGTACTTTATTATATCTAATTTTACTCTCCCTCACCAGTTTACACTATGGCTGGACTCGGGCCGGTTCGGGCCTGGTTCGGGCCCGGTTCGGGCCTGGGCCCTGCCGGGCCTCGGTTCATGAAAGGGGAGGCCCGGAACCGGCCCAGGTAACCCCTGGGCCAGGCCGGGCCTCGGTTCAATTTATATATATTTTTTGGCTTTTCATAATTAACCCCCAACCTTCACCCCTCACCCCCAAACCATCTCAAATGGCCCAAAATACCCAGCCCAACAAAAAAACTTAAAAAATTCAAAAAAAAAAAGAAAATAAAAATAAATTGGCCCGGATCGGGCCCGAACCGGCCGGGCCGGTTCACCTTTTGAGGGGCCCGAGCCCGGACCGGAAACCCAGCGGGTCGGGCCTACCCGGACCGGTCCCTGGCCGGGCCGGCGGTTCGGGCTGGTTCTGGGGCGGGCCGCCCGGCCCGAGTCCAGGCCTAGTTTACACTAAGAAAGTTTTTAATTGTACTGAAATTTTCTTGTTTGGTTTGGAAGATATTGTTTTATATCCGTCGCTATACCATGGAAGTAACCCACCATGATCATTCTGCTCCCACGAGCAAAAACGCGTGTAGCTGTTCACGCGAGTGAACAATAACTTTTTTTATTGTCCATTAGCAGAATATAAGAAATGTAATGTAACTCACGTTGATAATAAGTTATGTAACTGTAGGTAAGTTGGAATGTAATTTGTCTAATACAGATTATAAGAAATAAAATATTAATTTCAATGAAAATAAGGAGTCTGATAAGGCATGGACCGGTCCCGGGCCGGTCCTGGGCGGGCTTTTTGGGCTTGGTTTTGAGCCCGGAACCGGCCCAAGTTTCCACAAGGTCCGGGTCAGGCTTGTCCCGTGGCGGTCCCCAGGCTTCATCAATTTTTTTTCTCCTTTTCTACTTAACCCCCGACTTCCTCACCCCCCCCCCCCCCCCAAAACACCCAGCCCAACCCGGGAAAAACAAAATACATTGAAAAAAGGGGAAATGGAAACTAATAATCAAATCTTTTAGCGGTCTCTTTACAATAGCCCCACTTTTTCGTTATTCATGAATAATCCAAGCTTTGCACCTCATCTTCATTCACTGGTCCCTGACCGGTTGATGACCTGCTAGTCCAATTTATTTTCTTATCTTTGCAAATCATTATACCATAAATCTCACCTTTTATAAAGATAATACATTGCAAAGATAAGAAAATTACTTGAAATAACAGGTCATTAACTGGTCAGGCGAATGAAGATGGGGTGCAAAGGTTATATTATTCTTGAATAACGAAAAGGTGGGACTATTGTAAGAAGACTGCTAAAAGGTTGGATTATTAGTTTCCATTTTTCCTTGAAAAAAAACGGCCTGAACCGAGGT